TTGCGTGACTTGCAATGGCTGCATGCCTAGGGTCTTCTCATCTCCTGAGCTTAGAAGAGAAGGCCCTACACTTACTAGGGCCTTCTATCTCTCTCTCTCTCTCTCTCCCTCTCTCGGGCATAAGGGTCGGTCAAGAGCCCCGGGCGTCAAGCCCACCCGCATTTGCAGAATCGAGGGTGTGAAAAAAGAATAGAGTCAAAGGTCTCTCTTTCTTTCTTTCGCCAGGGCTATGCTGCAGGGGCTTTACCCCCTGCACCGCGTGCTCGTGCGCCCCCGACTTGCGGAGGAGGACTGGTGTGAAGCAAACTCACGGCAGTCACGCGCCATAAAAGCTAACGGCTGCCCTCAGCAACTGGAATCCGACCAAGGAAGAGGATACACCGTCAATGTAACAAGCCCCTTCGGTAAGGATAGACTGTCACTCGAGGTCGTTCCAGGGCCATGGTATCAAGGGTATTTCCCGATTTGTCGTGGTTCAGGATATCGTTGACAAGGTTACGAGTGAGAGTCCTTAGATGCAATTAAAGACGCTATCGGGTGGAAAGCACACCACCATGGTCCACACGCTGAAGTGCAAGATCACTCCAGGTAAGCCATCATGGGGCACAGCCGCTACTTGACTTACAAAATCGGACACCGTTGAAGCGGGGGAGGGGTATCATCATCGAGGAAATTGGAGGCTCCGGCGACCCGTCAAAAGTGTACTTCACAGAACATGGAAGCAAGGGGCAAGCACTGCAAACCCACCCTGGTAGCTATAACTTAGTTGCTGAGTTGATAAGCCCCAAAAAGTGTACACTTTTAGTTCTGTAGTGGGTGTTATTATCCCAAAAAGTGTAAAGTGTATCCACTCAGCTACTAAGATAAGGTTAAAAACCCTGCAAGTATGCGGTATTGAAATCGAGTGGAGAGATACACATGCAAGCGGCTCTGTAAACGATCTGCAAAAACTGCCCTTTCATCGGCGCGAACAAACAGGCTCGTAGCCTAGCAAGCACAGCGAAGTTCTTTGAAGACTTCCTGCGGCATGAGATCTTCGAACTGGGGCTGGGGATTTTCCCCGCAGTAGTAGCGCTCACTTGTTGCCTTTCGCCTTGCCCCAGTACTTCCACTCTCTCTTCGTGCCTTTATCTGGATGCCACTCATGTCGTGCCGCGGTTGGCGGCACAGGTCTCGGTACTCGATTTGCATCGCAGCTCTGTAGGCCTTCCACTTGGCCTCATCCGTGGGGTAACTATCCAGGTCATAGGGAACGTTCCCCTGGTCATCTCGCTGTTCTAACAGCTGTTGAAGCCGTCGGCGCTGGGGAAGGGTAAGCGAGGGCGGTTGTCCCGTAGGCGAAGCCGGTGCAGTGGAGTTGCTGCTCACGTGCATGGCCTCAACCTCAGTTTCCTCCCCGGAAGTTCCGCCCTCTGCATCGTCTCGGCCAGGTAGCGGATCGTCTGCTTGAGCTGCGTGATCTGATTGTGGCGCATAACCGTCTTCAAAGACATCAATGACGGGGTGCAGTCCACGGTGCAAAGGAGGGTTCTCACGGTCTCCCGGTTGCTGCGGCCGGTCGACGTCCTGGGGCGCATCAGACATGTAGGCGGGCACGTGGTCGGTGCAGAGGTCGTCCATCTCGTTTGCGGCGAGGTCTTCTGGGGCTGGTTGCGCACCTGTAGCTGTATACCTGTGGCAGTGCTCGCATCGGGGTCAGTCCCCAGCATCTCGGCTCGGCGTGGTTCTGCTTCGGAGTCGTAGTGGTCGGGAGTAGCATGTCCACGTTGCGTAGGAACTTCGAAAGCGGTCTCAGCTTGCTGTGGGCAGGCTCCCGTTTCATTCCCCATCATTGCCACTTGGCCCGGAGTACCTTGGTAGTCGCTGTAGTGGGTGTTTTGGAGGAGCTGAGGATGTCTCGGTGCTGAGACAGCAAGGGCGGCACCGGCTTGTTGCGGGGTAATTCCCCCGCAAGGTTCTCAAGGTTGTCGTGCTGGAAGAGGCCGAAGGCGATGTCGCTGTGGAAATAGCGCTGTCTGGCATCAGGGCTTCCCCCGTCCTGGGCAGCACCGTGGGGTCCATGACTACGCTTCTGGCTATGTCAGAAAGTGGCTTTGGTGGCGGCGGTGGCACAAGCGACGCTGGCGGGCTCCCAATGCACGGACTGCGGTTCTCGACGACGATGACTTGACCTCCTGCGGCTCTCGAGTTATTGCTTCCGCATCAGGTCCGAGGATATCACGGAGGGGTGCCAGCATGGGGTCATCTGCGGCCAAGTCACTCCAGATAGTAGTGCCAGGCAGCGAGCGAGGTCGCCCCGGTGAAGCAGAGTCGTTCCTCTTCTTGTGCTTCTTGCTTTTCGTACCTTTGGCACACGCTTGTCTTTCAGTGGAGAGGCTTCGCGCCACGATCCCTCCGTCGTCTGCGGTTTCTGGAGGAGTCCTGGGAGTGAGGGGGAGGAGGGGGTGGAGGTGCCGAGGAACTGGAACCAGCTTTGGCTCGTAGTGCTTCGTCACGGGCTGGCTCTGTCTCTCTCTCCAACAAGCATTGCCTGGCATGGGCTGCGCTCTTGACGGTGGTACCAAAGTATATGCAGTTGTCCGCCTCAGGGACATGATTAGCATGGCACTTCGTCCCAAGCAGGCATCTTCGGCACAACAGGTTACCAGTGTCGGGGTTGCCCCCCAAGTTCCCTGGCGCAGCGTGCGTAGAGCTCGTCGGAGTGGTAGTAGCAGTGGAAGCGGGGGAGTTCCCCGGAGCTGCAAGTGGTAGGCTTGTACCTGCTTGGGTTCGGTGCTGTCACACCCGGACAACATACAGTTAGCAGCATCTCGGCGATGTCCTCCGTGGCGTGAAGGACCATCACGGCAGCGGGGGCAAACGATGGCCGTCGGAGGGGGTTGGCCCCCGTTGTCACCCAACTGCTTTTTCCGGAAGAACCCATCATAGGCAAAGACAAAATCCTCGTTGTCCCTGCCAATATCACGATCACGACGGTGGGGATGCCCCCGTTCGAGGGAGCTCTTGCGGAGAATCGTGCCAGTGACGTACCCCCCGAGTAGGTTCGCCGAAGGCCATCAGGAAGTTGTTCCGAGTCGGCAGAAGGGAGAGGCTGTATAGGGAGCAGCGGTCACCGTGCGGGTCCGAAGACCCCGATCTCGCAGGAGACGGCCTGGAATGTGAACAGCGCACAGTTCCTGTTCACAATCACCCGCAATGCGTCAGAAGAGTGGGAGTAAGCAGGCGGAGAGCAGAGGGCAAAAAGGTTGTCCTGTGGGGCGCTCATAAGAAGTCAGAGGAAAGGGCTCACAGAGGGCCCCCCACAGGCTTGAACCACTCGCGGCTTGAGCCAAAGTGGCCACAAAAGTCTCTCTCTCTCTCTCTCTCTCTCTCTCTCTCTCTCTCTCTCTCCCAAAAAAAGTCTTGAACAACGCACACAAACCTAACCTTCGAAACGACCCGCACACCCTGAACCCCAAGACTTCCAAAAGAGAAGCCCCTCGGGCGCCTGGGGATCGACTCCGAGCTCTGCCCTCACCGAGTGTGCCGGGGTGCCGGAGGCCTTGTCGGGTCTCTGGGAGGTTGTAGGGTTCAGGGCTTCGGAGGCTGCTTGGTACACTGCTTCCCGGTTTGTGGCGAAATTATGGACTGGGGCGTTTTAGGCTTAAAGGATCGGGGTTTGGGAGGATCGGGGTTTGGGGTTTAGGACGCTTGGGGCGTTGTGGTTTTGGGTCTTCGGCCTAAGTATTCGGAGGCCCTGTGTGGGTTTTGATTTCAGGGTCGAGAGGGTGGTGCGTTTAGAGGATCGCGCGGGAGGATCTGCAGCTGAGGATTTGCAGTCAAGGAGCAATTCTTCTGCCGGCCCACCCAGAAATTTAGAGCTGAGGATGGAAAGGTTTCGTGAGTTTTTCGGGTCCCTCGAGCTTGTTTGGATTCCGAACTCTACAAACTAGTAGATCCAAATAAAGGGCACAAAAGCATTCAGGCAGTGAGTTGTGGGAATCACAGGTAAGCCTTCTGTCCAAAGTTGGCAAGGATATGGGGATCTGCTCAACCCCTCACCACCCTTTGTGCCCTCGTCCTAATAACTCTGCTTCCGGCTCCACTGTTAGGGTTTAGTGCTGCTGCTGCTGCTGCTGCTGCTGCTGCTGCTGCTGCTGCTGTTGCTACTGCCGTTGCTGCTACTGTTCGTGGGGGTGGGGATGGGGATGGGCCGAGCCGGGACCGGCCCCCGGCCCCCGCCAGCCCGCACCGTCGGTGTCACAGATTTGGGGTGGCAGCATCACAGATTTCGGAAGCAGATTCAAAGTTCTTCACAGATTTGCTGAGGCCTCACAAATTCAGAGGTCCAACATCTGTGAAAAATCTGTGAACCTTACTGAAAATCTGTGAAAATCTGTGAATCCACTGCTGGTGACGCCGCTGGCGGCGCCAACAACAACAAAGTACAATTGCACACCGACCATGACAACGACAACAATTACAGGTGTACATACACTTGTATGTCAATAGAATAGATATCTATAAACTCTTTACGTGGGCACACATACACGCATGTTTGAAGAGCTGCTAGTAAAGATATGGGTACGTGCACGAATGGCCTTCCGTGTGTTTACGTTGCTCCTATCAGAACTGCCCTCATTCTTTGTTCACAACACCTTCCCTCCTCTCAATCCCCAAACGCTAGATTCACAGAGTTTTCGGACTCGCAAACTTTTCACAGATCCCCAACCCTAGATTCACAGTTTTTGCACAACTCACAGATTCTCCTATACCTAGATTCACAGATTTTTCGCTGAAATCGCTACTTTGCTGGTTTTCAGCGTGTACACAGATTCAAAATTACAACTTTGAGGGCTTGCTCGAAGGGATTCTTTCAGGGTTCCTTTAAAGCTTCCTGTATGGGCCTTCAAAAGGCGAGGCAAAAGCCTCACACGTCAAAATCACTTTGGGCACTTCGGAGGTGGTCTGCGGAGATGTCTGCGGAGATGCGCGCCTGGGCCTGGGCGCCTCCTGGACTGTCAACCCAACGGAAGCTGGCCTGGCAGCACACCTCAGACCGTGTTCAAGTAACGCTGCGGCGTTCGAGGATTTGTGGCCTTGCGAGTCACAGTTCAGGGGGGGGTTGTAGTGGGCGCGCAGACCCTTCGGACTCAGGACCAAATCGGAAACACACTGCGCCGCCCGAAGTTCCTCACTGCCTGCACACGAACCTCATGCTGGGTTCGAACAATCTCAAGCAAGCGCAATCGCGATTCAATCGCATGAACATGTAATGAACCGGTTCTGCCGACCCGACAAAGTCGAATCCGAAGTAGGACTCACATTGCACGTGCCTCCGATCCAGAGGGAAAGTCCTATCCATCTTGGGCCTGGGAGGGCGGGTTTTCGGCACAGATCCCAAACCAACTCTATAAGCTCCGTATAAACCCTGTCTACAAAGTCTATAAGCCCTGGAAAGCCTGGAAAAACCAGAGGCACAACAGGGCCTTCACAGACGAGGAGCAGTCGGCTGCGGACACACCCTCTGAAAGGACAATCGGATCGGAGAATGTGGTAACGTCGGAGGAGGCGCTGGGAGTTGTGATTACCTTTGCCATGGCTTCGCATGTAGACTGGGGCATAGGGAAGGCGTGGAGCTTGGTGCTGGGTTTATTGGTGCCGGGGTGTTGGGTTACCGAGTGCTTAAGGTCCAGGGTTTGGGGCTGATGGGATTTTGGAGTAGGCTATCAGGGACATTGATTCTTGCAGATGTATTCCTTAGGGCTCGTTAATTCCTGAATCGAATCATACCGCAATGCAAGCAAAAAGCTGTCAAAAGCATTGGGGCCCCTTCGTGGCTGAAGCCATGACCTGAACCTGGATTCCTACATGCTCCTTCTCTCGAAATCAAAAGAAGATTCCACTAACACCTTGTCAAGTTGTCAAGAGCACACGTATCGGATCGGAGAATGTGGTAACGTCGGAGGAGGCGCTGGGAGTTGTGATTACCTTTGCCATGGCTTCGCATGTAGACTGGGGCATAGGGAAGGCGTGGAGCTTGGTGCCGGGTTTATTGGTGCCGGGGTGTTGAGATACCGAGTGCTTAAGGTCCAGGGTTTAGGGCTGATGGGATTTTGGAGTAGGCTATCAGGGACATTGATTCTTGCAGATGTATTCCTCAGGGCTCGTTAATTCCTGAATCGAATCATACCGCAATGCAAGCAAAAAACTGTCAAAAGCATTGGGGCCCCTTCGTGGCTGAAGCCATGACCTGAACCTGGATTCCTACAAGCTGTCTTCAAGAATGGAAATCTGCTCCTTCTCTCGAAATCAAAAGAAGATTCCACTAACACCTTGTCAAGTTGTCAAGAGCACACGTACCGAAAAAGATCGTGCGCAGAAGCCGCAGCAGCATCCTACAACACCCAAGAGGCCCAAGAATAAAGCCTACTCTCTCTCCCCAGTCTTTCAGCATCTTACAGCCTGCGCCGTGGACTTTCTCCACATCCAAAACCCTGAACCCAAGAACCCCCATATCTAAAACTCTAAAACCTGAACCTCAAAACCCTGAACCCTTCTAGAATCCGTACGGCCTTACTTGGATCTTAAAGAAACAGAAACCCTTAAAGTCTTAAAGCTTCCTGAAACTTAAATACAGCAGTGCGAGTCAGAGGTCGTAGCTCTCTGGATTTGTCATAGTGTGGCGCGAACCTTGACACCAGCAAACGAGGCATGACAAAAGATGGCAGCCAGCCCTGTGCCCACAGTGAGGTCCACATCAGGAAACACAAGCAAGAATCGAAGGACTAGTGCTGTTGAGGAGGCTGCCCGGCGAAATACCATCAATGCTGGGGGAGCAACAAGCACTGGGATATGTATTGCGAGGTTTCCGTTGAATTCTGGGAATACACTCTGGGAGTATGCTCCAGAACAGATGCATCCAACACCGACAAGTTGGGCATACACATCGCTTCGAAAACGCACGAGAGAACTGAATCGATATGTCCGCCAAATGAGTTCTTAAGTACGACTGTCCGACTCAAGCAATGCAGTGTGCTTTGGGTTCGGTACTTTGTGTCTCTGGTTTTGCTGCATGCTGCTCGGAAAAAATTTTGTGCGCAGCTGCATGTATCCAGCGAAGGCCCCAGCTCACATCTAGGCACCACCAAAGCGGGCTTTTCCAGCGCGTAGACAGATCAACGAAAGAACCGCAAAGCAATCAGGATGCACAAATGGGCTAAATTCGAATGGCTGGCCACATCCTTCCGCCTGCCGCTGCTTGGCCTGATCGCCAGCGGCTCGGCCCGGGGAAGATATGTCCTCAGCTCGAAGATAAAGGACCTAAGGGTGGTGTAAGGGGGGAAGTTTGTTTGTTGGTTGGCTACTTGGCAAATTTCAGCATAGCTATAAGTGTAGTTCGATTTAGGTTGCTTTGGCTTCGCTTAGCTGTAGCTACGTCATCTCAATTTTCAGGAGGTGCCGGTTGAGGCTTCGGGGGAAAGGATTCGCGCCAACACGGGAAGTCGGCTTCAAGGGGCCTCAGCTTGAAGAAATTCTGGAAAAGCTTGATCAAGTTCCCTCAAAGCCCAGAGTTGAAACATGTTGAAAAGCCACTACCCAGTTGAAGACTGCATTGCCAAGCTCACCGCAGCTAAACACACCGTACGACATGACAAAAGCCTTATACTGTCGGGTACCTTTCCTCAATTGTGAACTGACTTCCCCTCCTCAAACCTGAACCTCTAATAAAGTCTAATAGACATCCATTCAAAGCAAACGGCCCACGCACCCGTCGTGATGGGTTCTTCCCGCGAGCTCTCCTGCTGATTCTCATGTCTCTCCATAAGCATGCTTCATCAAACCAATACGTGTCCACAATCCACCCTGCACTGCCCTGCACCCTGAGCCAAGCTTCGGCGGCAACATCATGGTAAAAGGACGAAGTGTTGGACGAACAGAAAGCAGGCTTCCTATAAGCAGCGATGACACAAACACTGTTAATAAAGGGACTGTGGAAAACCACTCGTTATCATCTGTATATAGCCCATCCTGAGCTTGCAGACACTTCCGTGCCAGACCCAGGATGCACAGGAAGATGAGCAGAATCCCCAGGATCCTGAAGTGACGCAGGTGTCTGTCTCTGCTCTACACCGGGAACGTCGGGACATGGAAGGCAGCGCACGAAACTTATGGACTTTGGCAAACGGCTGGCACTACATCTTCATAGTCAAGCCACATGCCCACGAGTGCTGATGCCTCACCCTCCGCCGTAGCATCCCTGACATCAGTGCGAGAATTCAGTTACCCATGGGAAGCTTCATCGTCCTCACAGGGTCTGAGTCTTCGGGGTGTCTTTTCGTCCAGGCAGAACAACACAAAGCCTTTGGAAACGAGGCGTCACCCCAGCCGAAAACTTATCACCTCTTACTCAAGATGTCAACCCTCTCGGCATAAACCGAATGTAGAATCAACCCAGCCACGAAATCCTCGGAGCGCCATGATCAATCATATACTATACAAACTTTGAACAAAAAAGGAACGGAGAACCGGCACCCACCACACTCAAACTTGTGTGAACCCCGATCGTCGATGCAAGCTCGCCTACTGCACCACAAGGGATCAAGCAAAAACACTAATATCGAAGCTTTGTAACCTAAATGCACAAGTTGTAAGCCCGAAATGCCGACACAACGAAAATAGGGAAGCCCCAAAACCCGGCCGAATCTCAAGGCCTCATGCTTAACTGTTGTGGAAGGTGGAAAGTCGGCTTCTCGGAATCCGGATTCGCCTTTGAGGACTTAGAGTGTTCCCATACAGTTTCGAAGTTCGGAGCCAAGGAGGCAGGACATGGAATCCCCAATGGCCTCGTGTTGAAAGGAGAGGGCCTTTTTTTCATTGTCTGGTTCGTGTTAGTCTAGGCAGTATGGCGGTGCATACGTGCATCAAGGCTGCGTCACTTCACCCCCATATCCTACGGCCTGCGAGGTTTGGAGCTTCGGGATTCAAAGCTCAGGTTGGATCTACTCATACTAATCGGTAACTGATGGTGGCTTTGGACGTTCGGCTTGGCGACTGGGTTCCTTGGAGGTTTCGGGTTCAGGCAGGGTGTACAGTGTCTGCATTTCATGCGCCGTTGGGATTTCGTGCTTTGCGCATTTTAGTAAGTGGGACTCTGGGAGGTGCGGGTTTAGCCTTCGCTTGCGCAAAGCATACACAGGGATCCCAGGAGACCCAAATGCATGCCGGATGCGTGAGGGCCTAGATTTTGAAGTTTATCCTCGTCCCCAGCTCCCAGGATGCTGGGAATATGTGCTAGCAGACACGTTGCTCACAACCCTATTTCGCATACTGCAGACTAATTTGGGTTAGTGTTTGAGAGTCATTTGAGAGTGTTAATTTTGCATGAAGGTCGATAATGCAACTCCGATGCCTTTGCTGTGCGGATGTTCTCAAGCTTGCGGGTGTAATTTCAAGTTCATGTGCTAAGATCTGCTGCAATCCTCGAAGCATGCCAAAGTACTCAACTTGGTCCCGATGCTTGCACCAAACGCGGCGGAGCTCGAATTGGCTGCATCCTACACTACACCGTGCTTCAACCACACGGGCAGCACGGCTGCAACCATGGCGGGGTTTGCTTTGCCTCGTGCTGAGGCTTACTATAGGGGCCTTAATCATAAGAGTCGCGTGACAGATCACCCTTGCCCAGCGGGGTGCCCGGTCTCTTTTACTGCCGACACACCGAAATCTGAGCACTCAGCGAGCCTACTCTGGAGATTGTGAAAAAGTGTTTTCGGCTACTGCTGACTCTGCAAATCTGCAAGATTATCTATAAAACGCCAGCTGAACCTGCATGGCTACATAGGAAGCTACGTCCACAACGCACTCCCCCTTTCACGCATGTGATAGACCAGTCGAGCATGAGAGGCTTGTTAGGGCACTGCTGACAGATCGGCCGCTCCTGGATTTCAGACCCCTTCAACGTCGAGCACAGCATAGACGTGTGAACCAAGCTCAACTCGGAGTGACAAACATACAGATCCTCCTCCGTGTCCGATTCTGACCTCGCGAAATGCATGGAAGTCGAACAGGGTCCTCTTCTCCCAAGCGAGCTGGCTCTTTATCCGGGATGATTTCACCTGGAGCGCTGATGCTCCCACTGGCAGTTGTGCTTTCAGGGTATCAGGCGGATGCACTGTGTTCGTAATGTTTACCGTGGGCCTGACTTAGCTCAGCGCTGCTCAGCAGTCTACGGCACTGGCACATAACTCGTACCGTCAGCACCCCTAGGAACCATCCTCGGACACAACCAAGAATAAACCACCCACTATCCCCTTCTTCATCTCCGAGCTGCTCTGGATCCAGTCAATAGCTGCACACGCTCCTTTGTTTAGCACTGTCTATGGACGTCGCGCTTGCGGCATACGCCACTGCAGCCAGAATCCTTCCTGCCCCACCTCCTGCACTCGAACTATGGCTGTGGTGCGAAGGACTCGGACTCCCTCCATCCTGACCAGCTCGGTCGCCTCCTGAACTATCCGATGATCATTCTCGGATTGTGTACTCTCCGGAACTCGTGGTAGCCCCTTCCAACTCTGAATCCTCCTCCTCGTCTTGATCTTGCCCAGGGACGTCTGGTCGAACCGGCACAAGCCATACTTCGTCATCTGCATAGCGCACAATTAGCCCGGGCGGCGGGCCCACCACAGTAGGATCCCTAGGAGAAAGGTCTCCCCTGGCCTGCTGTTGCACAAACTCTTGTACTTGAAGTGTCGGGTTATGATGCAACTACGACAGTCTAGGGTCCAGAACTCATCTTGCGAAGCTGGGCAAAACGTGAATCCAAGATTCCATGGGAATCGTCCGTCATCTTGGCTCAACCTGTGAAGGCTCCTGGGAGTGTATCCCACTACGAGCAGCTGCTGTCCTTCACTTTCAACTGGCGCACGCCACTTGCCGGCATCAAAAGTCAGCTCCCCCCCGATTGTGAGTCCAACCTTCACCTCCTTGCTCATTTGCTCACCATCCCTCCTTGTGAAGCCTGCAAGCCCTCATCCTGTACCCGCAAGCCACCTTAACTGGCGACGACTGGCAAGTCAATGCTGCTTATCCCCTTTCGACTGCGCACATCTCTATGTGGGCCATGCTCTGCATTCCATACCAACCCTACGGATGCGAAAGGGTCCGCAGCGAACTCACGAAGGTAGTGCGCCAAGTACGCGGACACCCAAGGGAACTCTTTAGTCTGGTTCTTTAGACCTGTCATTCCACTGAAGGCAAAAGCTCCTGAGAAAAACAATGTCCCACGGTCCTTGACCTTGACCGGTGGCCATTGAAAGTTTTGCGATACTCGGAGACGTGAAATCCTTTTCTTGCAAGAGCTTTGCTGCAAGGGCATCCGGCTCGTTCTTAGGATATCTAAAACCACGGCTGGGGCTATGGCACGCGCTGTTTAAGTCAGGCCCTCGACAGTCTATGAGGCATGCAGCAGGGGCGACATTGATGCCCATCGTTGTTGGCCGACGCTTGCAATACAACAGAGGTCCCTGATCGAACGAGATCTCCTCAAGACCGAAGCGTGCACGGAACTTGGACCACTCCGGAGAGTTCCAGAGCGAAGCGCTCTCACCTGCATCCTCTGGTTGCTCCTTCCCCGATATGCTGCTGCCTCAAGAACTGCCAGCTGCAACACCAGCACTCTAAGACAGGACATCATCTGCATGTCTAGCAAGCCTCTGGCCCTGAAAGCATCAGGTCTTTGCGGCATCCCAAACTTCTCCCCGGAATTCTCACCGGAGCTTCACCCCCTTTCCGCCTCTGTGCAACCTGAAACATAGCGGAACTGCGAGAAAGACCTCGAAGGAAGGCTGCCCACAACACCTTTGATCAGTCCGCTCTGGGCTAACTCAAGTAGGTAACAGTAGGTACATCATAGCTGCAGTCCTCAGGCCTCCTTCGTACACGTCAACATGCAACAAGGTTTGACCACACCTGTCAGCTGCGTCCTGGAGTGGGCTCTTAGACCCTTTTTGTCGCTAAGGTGCACTGATGCCCCATTAGATCTCTCGACCCTTCTCCGCATTCTTCTGTTCCAGCCACCCCCCATACGCTCACTGCACGAGGGAGGAATTACTTCAACCCATAGCGGTTCTGGGACCTCTGGAAACACCCTGCCCACATGCGACTTTAACACCGCAGCACCTTCAAGGCCTCCTGTGCACAGTGCTCCTGCCAGCTGAAGTTCTGTGCTGTTGCACATATCAGCCAAAACGCACTTGATCACTTGATCCTGGCTTCGCGGTTGTCCCTTCTCTGCGCCAAACTTTCGTAATCGTTTATCAGCTGCAAAGCTACCTGAGGGCAACCTCCGGGCATGTGTTATCACGTGGCTGCCCCGGCTCCATTGAAGCCTGTATCCCAAATCTAGGAGTGCCGCCACTGACACTATAGGACCTATAGGATTCACAGGGGTGGGACTAAGTAGTAGCATGCCTGCCTTATTGATGTGCAGCTGGCAACTTCCGCACGACAACTCAACACGAAGCTTGGGCAGCTTCAGCTCTGCTGCCTTTGCAGTGCGCAAGCATGCAGTGGTGCCTCCGTCAATGAGGCCACAGCTCCTCGCTCCTTGGTTGAGACCGTTCAGCTGCCTGGCCATCCTGATCAACATCATGACTGAAGGTGCCCTTCAGCTTGATCCCTATGTGCCCCTTTTGGATCGGCACTGTCCGGTCCAGCCAGCGACACAATCCTCTGCTTTTTAACTCCCCCATCTGACCCACTGACTGCAAGGACTTCTAGCTCCGCCAGCAAGGCTCGGGCAAACTGTTCAGCGGAGCTAAGGGTCGGGATGGTATCCAGTTGGAGCGCCACACGGGTCGTGTTGAGGCGAAAGAGAAGCGACGGGTTCTTTCCCAACGCTGGGAGCCATCCCATCAAGTGCGTCCAACACTAGCGCACAATCTGGCACAGCTACCCCCATACTGCGAGCACGTTCCAGATGTCTCAACCAATGCTGTAGCGCACTTACACCTTTGTCACCTTTCTGTAGTCCTCCATGCTGAAAGGCCTTCAGAACCAGGAAAACAAGACCCACGCACGTAGTCTTGCGTATGCTCAGTGCGTTGTCATAGATGACTTGGGGAATCGCCTCGCTGTGAGCATTGCCAGAGCCCGCGACCCCAACCTCAAGAATCTTTCTGCCTGAAGATACCCCGATTGGGGTTCCCTGGATCGCAAGCCGTTCAAGCAGGGTGGCTCCGAGCCATTTCTTATACGCCTCCTCTATCACCCTTCCCCACCATATATAGGCGACAAGTCACACAGAAGCTGCACCTCAACGCAGGATGGGTCGGTCACAGGGCCCAGGCGAGCAAGCTCCCACACCGTGCGGCCCCCTGGCATACCATCCCCGGTGCCGCTATCATGCCCAGTCGCTCCTACACTTGGTGGCGTCGAAGGCGGAGATCCTGGAGGTAACCTAGTTTTCTCGGTGTTGTGGGAGAGCATCCCTGCTTCCCCTGGCTTGGCTTCTTTCGAGGGGTCATGGGACTAGGGCTTCGACCGGCAACCTGCACTTGTGCATGACCTGGAAGTTCACTGGCAAGCTGCGCCTGTGCCTGACCTGAAAGTGCACCGGCAACCTGTGCCTGTGCCTGACCTGGACTCTGGAAATCCATTGCCAGCCTTCGCCTGTGCCTGACCTGGAAGTCCACTAACAAGCTGCATCTGTGCCTGACCTGAGCCTAGGAGTCCAGGTGGGCCTGATGGTCCGGTGTCAACTTCCACTGACACCCCATGCCACTCGAAGGAACTATCAGGCTCCACAAACGGAGAGATGCGAGATCAGGGATCCGAGCCTTGTGAGGTCGCTGAGTGGAGAGAGGCTATGGACTGGGAGCATCACTACCCCTTGCACACTGTGTTCACGGAGGGATAAACCTCCTTGCGTATCCTACATCAGAAGCCGATGCCCTGGTTTGGCTGACTCGGGGGTCACCAATCCCCTTACCCTGTCGACGTTCTGAGTCTTCCCTGTTACTCTCATCGAAAAATAAGTCTAGATGCCACCACAGTTCGCCCTGTGAGAGCCAAGCTTGCTGGCAGTTTTGCATCATTTTCCAAATTTAGCAAATGCCCATCCCGGACCAATAGCACGACCCACAGTCTCCGAAGCATCACCGAATTCCCCCAAAGCAACACTGTACTTGAATCTTACTAAATACTGACACACAGCTGCAGTGTAACAAGCCCCAGTTCACAACACGTTGAAACCTTAAGAAATCAACCCAAAGAGGATGACATGTCAGCAACCTGTTCTCTGTCGAAACCTCTTGCAGATTTAGGCCCTCTACCGTCACCTGTACCGTGAAGCCCTCTACCGTCGCCTGTACCGACAAGCTGGCTACTCCTACACTGTCTACGTTCCCACTCATCCTGTCTGTACAGATCCCTACTCTCAGAACCTGCATTCGACGAACCGTGGCTTCCTTGGCGTGCTTCCACCAACTGTTCCTGCAGAGTCTGACTCTGGGTATGGAGCTGGCGGATCAATGCCTTCATGCTTTCTCTGGACTGATCCTCAACAGAACCTGTGGCATTTCTCCTGTGAGCACCCTCTGTGCTCCGGTTTCCATGCCCTTCCAGAGACGGCCCGGTCGGACCGAAACCATTCACCCTAGGAACCTGATTTCTAGAAGAGCTGTCCAGCGTCTCCTCCCTGAGCTGCTGAGTTTCTCCAGGAACTTGCCCCAAGCCAGACTCTAGCTCTCCTGCGATAGCTGTCTCTTGTCTGTCAGGAGACCCTTCCACCGACATGTACTCGCACGGCGGCTCCTAGCCCTCGCTCTGATCCAAGAGCTCGCGAGCCACATCCGCCGGACTTCTGTCTTGTCGCTCGTTTCCCCTCTGCTCATGCCCAGCATCAGCACGACTGCCAACATGAACATCACCCCACAGGCCCACATCGTTTTCCATGGCGCCGGGCGTAGCGTGAGCTTGGACTCATAACTTGTCGGTGACAGATCACCCTTGCGCAGCGGAGTGCCCGGTCTCTTTTACTGCAGACACAACGAAATCTGAGAACTCAGCGAGCGTACTCTGGAGATTTTACAGGTTGAGTTCGGCTACTGTTGACTCTACAAATCTGCACGGTTATCTGTAAAAGAGAGACCATCCTCTAGCCGGCTGAACCTGCATGGCTACATAGGAAGATACGTCCACAGCTCCACACAATAAGAATAGGGTTTCGGGGCGCATTATACTATACTTATAATAAGGAACCCCCCAAAATAGTATAGGTAATTATTAAGGCCCGTATAGTACCCAGAACTCATCTCCGAGCTCGTGCCGCCATGCTGCCAGCGTCGTCGTTGAAGTCGAGGAAGATGTCACCACCTGAAGGCTCCCGCCCCGCCACAATCGTCATGAACAGCACCCATGGGTATCTAAGCGATTCTGCTCTTTTGACTCGGCTCTCTTGCGGTCAGGACATGGCGGTCTGTGCCAGAGCAGGCTCACAACTGAAGCTCACCGAGGTTGTGTTCGGGAGCATCTTGCCACGAACCAAAGCCAGAAGCTCCTTGAAGCTGCTGCGGAGCAGCAGTGCAACCCTGCTAGCAGCTAAGCAGCTGTGGAAGTCGACGTTGACTCCCTCAGCGTCGTTGGAAGTCGATCTACCTAAACCCTCAAAACCCAAAACGTAGAACCCAGAATCGAGACTGTCGAACACAAAGTCTCAAGCACCCTGCACAATGACCATTTCTCTTCCTCTACACTCCTGGTCAAGCTGGCTGTAACATGGTGCAGATAGTCCGCTACGTGGCTTTCCCCTTACGGAAGCTTCAACCCGCCAAATGATTTCTCCAACTTTGGGGTCTCTGACTTAGGGTTTCAATTTGAGCGAACATTGACCTGGCCTCTTGCGATCATATCCGGACTCTCAACCCTAGAGCCCTTTGTGATCAGCTTTCCTCTGCATCAGGAGCCAAAAAGACCTGTATCACAATCGCACGTGCACGTACACCTTCAAAGCGACGGCGAAGGCGTGCAAGGAAATCCCCTCAACTGAGCTGCACCGCTGATGAGATAAATGCATCATCATTCGCATCATCCAGGTGATGCAACCTCTCACCAGATATGCTCAATCACCCGTGTAGACATATGGATGCGGAAGTATAGACCTATGTGAAAGAATGCATACATTTGTGCATGACCGAATCAACGCATAAAGTCGTAGTCTTTGCGTGGCCATCCCAGATGAAACGACCAAACTTCCCTCCCGGTGAGTGGCGGGTCCACCACGGCGACGGGAACCAGCTCTTCCACCAGCACCGCGACGCTTGCCTTCTCTCTGAAGAGACCACAAGCTAATGCAAGGGCAACATAATATAGGCGCCTTAACAATTGGAATAGGGTTTGGGGGCCCACTATACTATAAGTACAATAAGGAACCCATTGAATGCATTCAGGGTCTGGCTCGCACTTCCCTGTCCCAAACTCTGTGAAAATGGGGGAATGGCGCTTCGGCGTACGCCGGTACGCCATTCTCCAGCTGAAAACCGTCCGTTGCAATGGAATCATGACCGAAAACCTAAGGGTATGTAGTCCTGTCAGGAAATATTTAGACTACGAACGGCTGTTGAGGTTGTTGGCTTTGCAGGTACGTGGAGGTTGGCCATCGTGCAAGGTGGATCACCCCCTCCTTGTGCATAGTCGAAATCTCCGATGCGACTTCGGCAGAAGATTTGGGCTTCCACACGAACTCTCGTCGTCTTTGTCTTTATCTCTCTCGCTCTCTGTGTCTCTCGCAAAAACTCTCTAGTCCCGGTCTACAAGCTTGCCACTCGTCTGAAAAAATATTAAAGCCCCGTGTCGGCCGGTTTGTTGCTATCCTTCAACTTCGCTGACCCCTTTCGACGACCAGCTTGCTCGTATCGCAGTCTCGCTGGTCTCTTTCGCATGGCTCCTGTCTTTGGTGCCGACTGAGCGCCGAGCCTGCGCAAGAAGGGGTTCCACATTTCCTGCTGTGGTGCTGCGAGCATTTCGACAGAATCCGTGTTCTTTCTACAGATGTCCCACGCCGCGTCCGCCGATATGCTGACCCCTGCCCCTGGCAGTGCCGAAACCCATGTTTACCTTGTTTTCAACGAGAACTGTGCTCTCGCCACTCATGACTCCGAGCTCCTTAGTTTGGTCCTCTATCCCGGCATTCTACGCTATTGGAAGTTTCGAGAGGCAGTGCTCCCGCCAGTGCCCTGTGTGGCTCGTGCTCTCGCCTTCGAAATCGCTTGCCGCAGTTCCCTGCATTCTTGGGGTGTGACTCGCTTTCCGGCTCTCCTCCCTACCCTAAACCCTAGACTCTGCCGCGCGCGCCCTGGGGTGGCAGGGTGGGGCCTCTTAATGTCAATGTTCGGGGCCTAAGCTGGCAAAACACTGTGCAAGTTGTATCTTCCCCTCGGGTCCCCTCGCACACATTCGTGATCCGTTTCCGAACTGCTTACATCTTCTGGCTCAACTTCGTTCATCCTTCCGATCTATGAGATACTTACTCTGCTTCTTCCGTCCCGTGCACACGGTTTGAACTCACGTCATCCTTCTCGAACGTGACCACGTTCGAACGGCTTGCTGCCCTATTTCTTGGAAGGGCTTGCAGCAACTACTCCCCGGTGAAAAAGTCCTAGTCCTAGTCCATCTGAAGTGGCTTAATGTCTTGCATTAGTTCCTCTACAGCACACTTCGAAACCTTGGCCCTTTATACTCTGTTTTGGCTCCATGTCCATCGACGTTCACTGAGCAACCAACCCAAACCTTGAACCCAAATAGAACCTTTCGCAAATCTCACTTAAATCAACATGATGCAAACCCTAAAACACCAAAACCACAAAAAATGTCACGTGTAAGCAAAGCAAGGCTTCCCTTTTTTTGGCGCAGCTGCCAGTGCTGGAAACTGCTGTAGAATCACCGCAAGGAGCTCCGTCGCAGTCAACACAGTCAACCTTGGGTGCCCATCTGAAAGTTCATATCTTGGGGATGTCCCCTTAGGAAACGGCTCTGACCTTCAAGGAATAGATGAGTAGTGCTTTGGAGGCTTTCAAGATATCATAAGAACCTCTGCCCTCTACTTCTGCTGTATGATGACAGGGACTTGCTGCAATGCGCCAATGCATGGATGCAGTTCATGTCGCGTACGAGGTTCAGGCCCTCCTCATCTTTCACTGCAAGACTTGGAATTTCTGGGAGGGTCGTCAGCTGCTGCACCGAACCTGCAAACTCTGGCACCCGATCTGATGGCAAGCTGGAGGAAGCCAAAATACAGATCTGCAAAAGGGCGCAAGTACAGCATCGTGCAGCATGAAAAGTGTAGACAGGCTTGAAGCCTGAAATACGACTCAGCCAGCAGTTGCGCGGGAATAGGATCACGCGTTGCACATGACAACGGTCAATCGAATTCCTCCTCTCCGATGCAACGCTTGGCAAAGTAAGCCTCCAGAGGCCTTGCAGCTGCGTGTTGATATTTACGGCACGAATCTCCCGAAGGCTCTTACTTCGGGTTTCGGGTTTTCCTGACAAGGCAAGCGGCCTTTCAAGCGAATCGAGGGCCTCTTGGACATCGTCGTCGCTCAACAGGACCACCGTCTCGGCACACGAGGAAACGCTTCTGGGCAACTCAGGGTCGCAAAAGGTAAACTAACCTTCTAGTCTACATGGATTCATAAGCAGTGTTGGACATCGGCAGCTTGGGAATGCAGGATAGCCTGAGAGAAATACACGACTAGAATAGCATGGTGTAGATAGATCTTGAGTAAATTCTTCCACCGGTCGACGATGGTCACTCATGCCATGACAGTATGCTTGCATGTCATGAGTGCGAAATACACTTGAAAACCAATGATCCTAGTGGACAGGCTGCGAAGCAAATACACTACGGCGGGGTCTAAGTTGCGCTTTGAACAAGGGGTAACCAAAGTCTATCCATGGGAACAGGCAGGGAGGCTAGCGGTAACAGATCTCCAAAGCACATATGTTCGGCTTCCCTGTCAGCCTCCACCTGCCCGTGCCCGTAGGTCACGGGCTTCGAAACGATAAGCCGAAGCCCAACAGCAGGTGCTGAGACCAAGGCGTACGTGATGATGATGTTTAGCAATGCTTCAAGCCGCCTGAGCCACCAATAAAGCCAGCTGCAGCTGGGTCTTGAAGGCTCCATGGATTCAGTTCTTTGCGGGGGAGGTCCACATGATTGACGGCCCCTGCTGTCCTAAGTCGAAACTCAGCTGACTACCTAGCGTCTATATAAGGCATCGGCCAAGGAGGACTAATCTGCTCACACTTGGAAGCAACAGGGACTTGAGTTTTGAAGGGAAGATGGGAGACTTCCCAGAGAGGTCGGCTCTGTTGTCCAGCCAGGGATTCAGCATGGAAGCAGCACCCTCAGAACCAACAATGCCCCTTCCGCAGTAGAACCCACGAGACCGTCGAGACTCCAACCCCAAACCCAAAGTGTCTGAGCTGAAGCCTGCTACAGACACAGCTAGCAAGCCCCACAAAGGCTGCTTCCACGAGAAGACACGCGAGGGATGGACGACTGCGAAAACCGGAGACTGGGACCCATGTCCACACGAACAAGCTGCTCCTTCATCACTCTGAGCCACACGAACAGCAGTGTCTTCCAACAACGAGAGTAAATTTGACTTGACTGGGCGTAAGACCTAAGAAGCGAGAATGATAGCTTCAAGCCGCCTTGAGACCGGCGCTGGGTTTGTCAAGGTGACCTGCAGCCTTGCCACCTGAGGCTCCAGTCGGAATCCCAGCTAACAACCAGGAAGGAAGAGGTTCAAGGCTCAGGGTTTAGGCCGAATCTTAGTCAACGTTGTCCGGGGCCTAGGTTCCAGTGGATAGGAAGGGTCCAAGGAGATCTATAGTTTCGAACTCAGGATGAAGGCATCTTGCGTGGCCCTTCTTCGATACCCTTTGTATGTAAACGAGAGCAAGACTGGCGCATGACCTGGCTATCACACAACCCCGCAACTTTCTATGCAGCGTCGCGCAACTCTGCATGTATGTATGAGACCGACAGACGGACGGACTTACGGACGGACAGACAGACAAGATGGTTAGACAGATAGATAGTAGATAGATAGATAGATAGATAGATAGATAGATAGGTAGATACATTGGTAGATAGACAGGAAGGTAGATAGCTAGATGGGTAAATACATGATTAGGTAGATAGGTAGATACATGGCTAGCTGGAAAGACACATAGCCAGACAGATAGATAGATCGATGGATAGACGGATAGATGGATAGATAGGTAGGTAGCCAGATAGGTATATAAACTTCTTGTTGCGCCACGCGCGTTCGCATGTATACATGGCGGAGCCTGAATCCTTCCCACCTTCATCCTACCTGTTGAAGGCCTTCATTTTCATGACGCATGGACTCTGACTGTAGCAGCAGTGCTGCCAGCAAACCTGCTCTGGCGTCGCGGAGTCTCCAAAAACAACGAGCGCCAACATCTCTTTGGTGGCCTCAGGGGACGATCCGGACTTCAATCATTCCCTGGAACGAGGGCGAAGCAAAGAGTTTATGGGGATCCTCGCACAAGAGATGTGTCCCGAAGTGTTTTCCAAATCGGGTAGGTGCAAGGTGTATCGCAGATTGATGTGGCACCTGTCTAGCTTCCCCTGTCTCCCTGTCTCTCACTGTCACTGTTTCTCATTCCTCTGTCTCCTGTGCACCCCTGGATCAAGCACTGATTTCTTATCTGGCCTGCAAGAGGTCGTCAAGGTTCAACCTGGGCTGAAGTGAGCGCTGACGGGCTTGCTTTCAGACTATGCTATAGTTGAGGACACAATGTAGCATATCTTTGTGTCGTCTGGAAGCTAAAACATTTAGGCAGTAGCAGTTTGGCACTCATCATTGTGTTAAGCAACGACTGCATCTCTGCTATTAGGTAATTCCAGCATAAGACTGCTAAACTACGGATAGTCAGTATAGATTGTAAATGGAAGAAAAAACATCCCACGATGATCTCTGCATGTCCAAGCCGCGCCGTAGCATTCGGAAGGCTTAGGCGCATGCCGCCTTCAAGAACAAGCCTTGAGCAAGCGATTGGAGCCCAGATTTGGAGCTCCTTTTGGGGTTCCTTTCAAGGCTTCTTCTTGGGGATTATGGGGGTTCAACGTAAGGGCAGTAAGGGCCTGAATAATCAGAATCGGATGTTGGATGAAAGTAGGGTATCTATATCAGTATGACAAGCCCACAGGACTAGTTATTGGCAATTACGTGGGCCCCAACATTAATCGGTTGGGGATGTAACCCAAAGCCGCCACAGTGCGGGGCCTTTGGGAGGAGGTTGGGCATGCATGTGAACACATATAAGTTTGCACGCGCGCGCGGGTGTGTGTGTGTGTGTCTCTGTGTCTTGATCACTCTTGATCTAAAATGTTGGTTCGAGCATCCGGACTTGGGTGCAAAGGTGATCTTGGAGGCAAGATCACCCTCAAGAGGAGCGGCTGCAAGTATCGGGACATCATACAGGCCGGATGCCTGAGCGCATCCCTGAGCCTTCTCTCGCGTCAACCCGAGCGAACCCTCAAAATCAAGTCGGGGGACTCAGAAAACCTACATGAAGCAGACGCCCAACACCCAGCCAAGAGACCTGGAAGGCGTGCTGGTGCCCGAGCTTGTGCTAGTCGCAGCCGTCTCGGTCAACAGTTCGCAATGTTTGGATCGGCTCACGTGAAGGTTCAGAACATGTCATGCATGATGCCCTGTGGCAGTGCCCCTTGTGTGTGTGTGCTTGATGATATGATAGGAATACCGATTTCGGTGTTAGAGGTCGGAACTGACACCTGATGGCCATGCTGGGCCGGGACGGTCAATACTATCATGTCACTGTGCAAACGCCCAGCAACGGACTGTTTGTGGCTATGGACACTGAACGACTTGCTCAAGTTCTACCTGCACCCGCAACCGCGTGGCTGGCGCAGAGGTTCTCCAGATGCTTGTGGCAGATGTTGTCGTTGATGCCTGGCAATCGGGCTTCGGCTTCTTTTGACCAGCACGCCGGGTCGAATACTTTAGCGATCGTGTCCGACCCGCTGCGACATAAAATGTGGTGCCCAGGGGGGAAAAAGTCGGCACTGATACCGGAAGGCCATGCTGCGGTGGACTATCATGTCAGCGCACCGAAAGTTGAGCTACGGAACCCTGGCGAAGCGGTAACGGCCAAAAGTCTGGCTCAACTTCTGGCAATCTGCAGCCCAGTTGCTGAAGCACTGCTTTGCAGGTTGCTTGTCGCAGATGTCGTCACCGATACCTGACAGTTGATTGCTTCAGAATGAAACTGTCAAAATGCATGCGAAGCTTCAACGCGGAATCCTGCCGAAAGGTGTGAAGGCAAAATCATGTAAAATCCTTTTACTCGAGTTCTACCCAAGGCCCTCAGTTGCGAACTTTGCACGCGTGAAACTTACGTCTGCAGCGAACTCGCGCAGAAAGTCCTCTCGCCTGTGAAGTCGTGAAGGAAAGCGTTGAAGTTGATGTCGATCCCCTGCGCGGTGGAGGTGTGGACACTTGCGTGCACCAACGACTCCGCAAGCATGGACAGCCTGATGACTTCGCTACCTGTTGCCAGAATGGCTACGACCACTTGCACAATCAGAACAGACTATGTATCAAAGCTTGTTTGAGTGATTTTCCAATCTACGATCCTCAGCCCCAGATTCCAAGAGACCTGGAAGGCGTGCTGGTGCCCGAGCTTGTGCTAGTCGCAGCCGTCTCGGTCAACAGTAGTCTACACATTAGGCTGTACGGCTTTACGGTTATGTAGGGCTTCACAATGTTCGGACCGGCTCACGTGAAAGTTCAGAACACGTCATGCACGACGCCCTGTGGCAGTGCCACTTGTGTGTTTGCTGATATGGTAGGAATACAGATTTCGATGTTAGAGGTCGGAACTGACACATGATGACCATGCTGAGCCGGGACGGTCAGTACTATCATGTCACTGAGCAAACGCCCAGCGACGGAATGTTTGTGGCTATGGACACTGAACGACTTGCTCAAGTGGCAGCACCGTCGCTTGCGCAAAGAAATTCGCGTCGCTTGCGCAAAGATTTGCCAAGTCGCTTGCGCAAAGACGTGTGTCGAATCCATTGTAAAAACCATAGGAAAGTGCACTTCTGTCTTTTTCGGAAATGGCTTCAACAAGCATGGAAAAGTGTCGAATCCATTGTAAAAACCATAGGACAGTCCACTTTGCAAGTTAGCGGATTTGCGCGGCAAAGTGCCGAATCCATTGTAAAAGCCATAGGAAAGTGCACTTGCGAAGTCGGCAAGTGCTGGCCGAAAAGTGCGTTTTGAGCTGTTTTAGGAAACATCTCAGAACCATCGAAAATGCACTTTTGGAGGCTCCAAAAGCATGTTTTCGTTGGTTTCCGGAGAAGCGTTTTCAGAGCATGCTTCGGGGGCCGAAAACGGCACCATCGAAAACGCACTTTTGGAGGCTCGAAAAGCACGTTTTGGTGGGTCCTGGTGGGGTGGGGCTGGGGGGGCGGGGTGGGGGGGGTGGGGTTGGGGCTGGAAAGGTGGGGTGGGGGGGCGGGGTTGGGGCTAAGAACGTCCGTGTTTGACGCATGCAGCAAGAGCAATCTCATTGAAACCATGGAAAACGGGTGGGTGGGTGGGTGGGTGGGTGGGTGGGGGGGGCGGGCGGGGCGGGCGGGCGGGGGCGGGGCGGGCGGGCGGGCGGGCGGGCGGGGCGGGCGGCGGGGCGGGCGGGGCGGGGGGGGGCGGGCGGGGCGGGGGGCGGGGCGGGGCGGGGCGGGCGGGGCGGGGCGGGGTGGGGTGGGGGTGGGGTGGGGCGGGGCGGGGCGGGGCGGGGCGGGGGGGTGAAACACTGAATGTTACACATCCAGGTGCCTGTCTGTTTCACGTATCACTTGCATGTATCCATGCCTGTTGCTCAAGGTTCTAGCAGACACTGGACTACAGCTGTGCGCCTGTAGAAAAGAGACACCTGAGTGCCTGTGTTCCTGTACGCCTAGCGAGGGGATACACGTCCAGGTTACATCTCAACGTGGTAGCGGAGCTCCCGGGAAACGGGAAGCTTCACACCTGTGGAGGTACCCGTTCGGTACGCTCTACGCAGGTGGAGGCAACCGGAATACCCGGTGTGCTTCACTCAAGTGAAGGTGACCGGAGTCTCTCCGGCACACTTCACTCAGGTGAAGATAACCGGAAGAGTTTTCTCCCGGGGCTCGATCCAAGAACAGCGCAATGGCTAGCCACTCTGCGACTATCTTTGAGCATGACGGAGGAGATGATGACTACCTCCTTCATGGCAGTGAATCTTTCGCGACTAATCATCGTCATCTCAATGAACTACACCGTCTTTCAGCTTTCCAGCAGGTGACCACCAAAGTACCTCCATCTTACGATGGTAGAAGCAGTTGGTTTGCCTACGAAGATGCGATCGATGACTGGTGTGACATTACTGAGCTAGACAATGATAAGCGTGGACCAGCTTTGAGAAATCGGCTAGAAGGTGAAGCAGCAATCCACAAAAGTCTTCTCGACAGAGATCGCCTGAAGGATCCTAACAACGGAGTGAAGTACTTCAAGAGTTTTCTGCGGCCGCTTTTCGTGAAGGGAGCAGCGAATGTTTTCCTCTACCGCTTCCAACAGTTCATGAACTTGCACCGTGGAAATGGAGACATGCTTCGTTGGATTACCAGGTTTCAGCTCTCTGTTCAGAGAATGCAGGAAGCGTGGAACGACACCTACATGCCGATCGTTGATCCGAACAATGCAGAGGTCAGAGCCTTCATAGCAGGACTTCCGCCAGAAGAACAAGATGGACTCACGCCAGAGCAGGCAATGGAAAGAGCCAACGATAGGCTCAGAGATCAGCATGCTCGGACCATTCCGATCACTGCCAACCTCGTTGCCTTGATCTTTGTCTCACTGTCCGACTTGACGCAGGATCAGCGGCAGGTGTTGACATCATTGATGGCACATCGGAACCGAGTTTTGGCTGACTACAACACGACCGAGCTGCGTGAGGTCTACCTGGAGATCTTCTGCACGACCAAGACTACCGTCGACAATCCTCTCCTCGCTCCTTCTGGCCACGGTGGCCGAAAGACTTTCCTTGTGATCGACGAAGGATACTTGGACAACCATGAGGGCTACTGGGTCGAGGACGAGGAGGATGGCACAGAAGGATTTCTCGAAGCGGATGAGGATGCCTTCTGGGTCTACGACGACGAGAACTATTCATGGTTCCAGCGGCGCTTCCAAGGCCGCAAGGTGAAGCGCGGATTCAAAGGCCACCGCAAAGGCAAAGGCAAGGGTGGCAAAGGATCCAAGGGAAGGCGCTTCTTCAAAAGGAAGAAAGGCAGGTCTCACCTTGCCGACGATTCCGACGCGTGGCAGGCAGAAGGACAATGGCAAGATTACCAGTGGAGCGATCAGTCCTGGGATGACTGGTCCTGGTATGAGTCAGAGGAGTCCTATGCCGCCAAAGGAAAAGGAAAGAAAGGGAAGAAGGGCAAAGGAAAGAGCAAGTTCGGCAAGGATGGAAAAGATGGAAAGTCCGGGAAGGACGGACAGAGCCAGCTTGCTGATGCTGCCCCGAGCGGCACCACAGCCGCCACAACGTTCTTCGTTGAACATTTCAACACTCCGAACCTTTTCTTTCATGGCCACTGAAGAGAAGATCGACAAGATCGAGGAAGCCTTCATCTCTCAGCCCTTGACGCCAACCGCGATGGTGTTGGACTTGGGATGCACGAGAGCAATGGCTTCGAGAGTGGCCGCACAGGACCTCATGGAGTTCTGTGACAAGAACCAGAACTGTGGCATATGGTATACAATCGCTGAGACCACCTCTCAGTTTACCTTTGCCAATTCCGAGTCGACCAAGTGCAACCAGAAGTTGGTCATTTGCATGTACGACCGGGATTACGCAGTTCAATCCACGGAGTTTGACATCGTGGAACAAGGACATGTTCCCATTCTCATGTCTTTACCGCAAATGCGCAATCTTCGTTTCCAGTTTGAACTCCATCACACCTGGTGCTTGACCTTCTGGAACTTAGTCAGTTAATGTGGAATGTGCGTTTCAACAAGCATAAGAAGTCGAGCTTCCTCACCTACTTCTCCCACTACGAGTACGGCTTCCACCAGAAGACCGAGGGATGCTCCTCTCAGGAGGAGGTACCCGACAATCTCGTGTTGGCGACAGATGATGAATGGGTGATCAATGAAGCCGACATGGAGATGATTCGCATCCACAAGAAGATGAGAAGAGTCAAGTATGAACCCAAGGCGGGCTTCGTGCCGATTCCGTTGGAGTATCTGGACGAGAAGCGCAAGACGATCATGGAGTTCTCCAAGGGAAAGATCGTTACTCAAGAAGATGACTGGCGTTCTTCTGAGCTTCCTTCATCAAAGACCACTGATTCTTGGAAAGGTAGGACCATTTTCAAGATTCTGCCTGGTGGTATCGAGAGTAGAACCTCGGTACCCGCTAAGTCCAAGGATCCAACCCGTGGTAAGGTAGGATCCCCAGAGGACATGGTTAGCGCAGGTAAGCCTGGTGACAGCTCGAAGAACGCATGCCTTTTCCCTCTCGCCGGGGTGACTCTGGACTTCACGGCTTTCGACGCTTCGGATCCCATTATATCCCCTCGCCTTGGAGGTGGTTGCCGCAGCAATCGCCTGGCTGAGGACGCGACCGGGGGACCGAGGTGCAAACGGCTACGTGACTGCCGAGGAACATGCAGGCCCAGAGGTGCCCGAGGCCCCCGGTCTAGGCCGGCAGCCAAAGGTGAGAGCCGTCGACCCCAAGGCGAAGAAGCCGACACTCGCAGGCCTCGCGGCTCAGCAGGGCGTGTTGCATCCGGAGGCTTTCTTCCAGGAAAGGAACCGGTAATGAGAAGGATTCGAGCCAAGGGAAGCTTTCCTCAGGGAAAGGAACCCAAGGAATCGGCTCCTCCTCCTCTTGCTCCTGAGGATGATCCGGATCTTCAAGAGTACGAACCTTCCGAACCGGGGGATGCAGATTTGCTTCCTCCGCAGGCTCCAGAGCCACAGTCGCTAGAACCTAGGAGGATCGCGCTTCCGTTGCCGGGCCACGAGGTCTCTAGGGCTTCTCCGCAGTACCAGCGCATGTTGGAAAAGCTGAACAATGACGTTGAGCTTTACAAGTTGCATGTGAAGCATTACCACATGAGTCCTGCTCAGTTTCGACGCAGGACCAGCATGCTTGGGCTGCCAGGAGAAATCTATGACAAGTACGACCGCATCGTCAAAGGCTGTCGTGTTTGTAGCACCTCCGTGCCTACGCCTCCGCGAGCCAGAATCGCAGGGTTGAGAGCATCATCTTTCGGTGATCTCATTTTTGTTGATCACGAAGAGATCAAGTTCAATACTAAAGCCTATTTGGCTCTAGTTATCATCGATGGTGCCTCGAATCTCCTGTGGGCTACGGCTCTCACAAGCCTGGAAGCGCCAGAGACTCTGGGAGCTTTTCGACAATGGACAGAGGAGAACAACTGCGTTCCTAAGGGGATCGTAGGAGATCAAGCATTTTTCACGCCACAGTTCATGTCCTATTACAAGTTTCATGGCATTACTCCGTATCCGTGTGGACCGCGGACTCCTTGACCTAATCGAGCTGAGACCGCAGTGCGTCTTTTCAAGCGCACGTGGGCCATTATGGCCAAGGCCTTAGCCGATGAAGGTTATGCAGAGAAGGTCACTGTTCGTCAAGC